CCTTACCCGCGGGTAACACGTACGGCCCCGTGAAACATATTCACGGGTAAGTTAATATCTCGGGAATCACGGAGTCTAGGAGGCTGAAGTTTTAGAGTTATGACCCCCTTCCCACCCTCAATCTTCCCCATTCAAATTCAGCCTTTCCTTATCCGCGAATAGCAAGTACGGCCCCGTGAAATTTTTTCACTGGTAAGTCACGGGTAAGTTAATATCTCGGAAACTTCGTAGTCTAGGAGGCTGAAACTTTAAGGCTGTGACCCCCTGTCCACCCTAAACCTTGCCCATTTAAATTCAGCCTTCCCTTACCCGCGGGTAACACGTACGGCCCAGTAAAACATATTCACGGGTAAGTTAATATCTCGGGAACCTCGGAGTCTAGGAGGCTGAAACTTAAGAATAATGATCCTCCTGCCCCACGCTCAACCTTGCCCATTCAAATTCAGCGTTCCCGCGCTCTCGGTTACCACCTACGGCCTCGTAGAAATTTTGGCAGATAAACTATTAACTCGGGAATCACGGAAAGATATTCATCCTTCAAGATTTCGAATTCAGCTTTCATACGCAGGTGCGTGAAATTTTTAAACTATTAACTCGGAAATCACGGAAAGATATTCATCCTTCATGGCTCGTGAAAATTTTGGCGGATAAACTATTAATTCGGGAATCACGGAAAGATATTATCCTTCAAGGTTTCATATTCAGCTTTCATACTCTATTAACTCGGGAATCACGGAAAGATATTCATCCTTCAAGGTTTCGAATTCAGCTTTCATGCGCCAATGCGTGAAATTTTTAACTGTTTTTCAATGTTTGAACTACTTTTGCATAGACTAAAGTACAAAGCAGTGAAAAAAATTAACTCTGGGATCAAGGAAAAATATTCATCCTTCAAGGCTTCGAATTCAGCTTTCATGCGCTAACTATTAACGCGGGAATCACGGAAAGATATTCATCCTTCAAGGTTTCGAATTTAGCTTTCATACGCTGGTGCAAATTTTTAACTGTTTTTCAATGTTTGAACTATTTTTGCATAGACTAAAGTACAAGGAAATGAAAATCATTAACAGGCAGTTCGATGGGCTGAATTGCACAAAACGCATGATCGCACCGGCTAGTCTGGTGCGCGTTGCCGTTTATTCCAGTTGCTTCGAGCAAAGCCACACACTCCGTTTGGTCGTCAGCCTGCCTGGCCATTTTGGCGTTCGTTTCATATGGAGCTCTGCAGTTGTTGCCAAATTGGCCTCTACAGTCGTTATGCAGAGGAGCTGTGAAGCTGCTATTTTCAGAATAATAAGCAGTACCTCAGAAAAGATAACCAAAGAAGACATTTTTCTTGCTCTGCGGCTTCCTTGCATTGCACGACCACTGCACGCAACGAGCCGGCTGAGACTCTGCTTGGAGATAGGAATAGCGAGCGGAGGCGGAGGCAGGGTTGTATGGGCTTATGACGCTAAGCAAGAAAGTAGATGCTGGGAGGAAGAAAGCTAGTAAGCTTGTGCTTGCACTCCAAGACCTCAACGGAGCAAAAATTCGGCACTTGTGTATTTCGCGCAATTCTAACCCAAATCCGCGAACAAGTACATTTTGCTTCGCCGAGCCGAGTTTAGTAATTGCCTGCTTCCAGCAGCATGAGTGTTCAGGAAAACCGGACCACGAATAACTGTGTCTGCTAATCGGTGCAGTATCGTAACTTAAAGGGCAACTACCAAAACTCAGCTCGGTTCAGATGGGTCGGGGTTTGGGTTGCGGTTTTTGTATTATGCCCTTTCAGGTTACAGGTGGGGCTGAATTCTGCTTCAGTTTTAATGACGGGGTAAGACTGGAGGTAGGGGATGAGGAGGAGAGGGAGCATAAAGGCCAGAGATGCAGGCTTAGGTGACAGAAATCGTGAGAAAGGGGAGGGGAGTGGAATAATGACTGAAACGAAGCTAGGGCCCTGCATAAAGATAGGAATTGGAGACAGAGGCAAAGACTGCGGGGGAGGGGTTATATGGGTTTGTGATGCTCAGCAAGAAAAATTTGATGCTGTATTTAAGCCCACACGTTCGTTCTTGTCAGCTTCCATTCAGCATCAGTTTTGCCCAGCACTATGAACCCGTAAAAGATGGAACTGAGATTGAGTTATCTGATTGAAAACATAACGGGTGCTGCTGGTAATAAACTGTAGAGCAACGACTGTAGTACGAACAGTGATATGCTTCAAAATCATTTTGAAATGTTCTTCCTTTTTTATGCTTTTTTATCTGTGTGCAAATTGCAAAAACGCATATTGGGAAGAGGTGGTGTGTGTCTGTGTGTTCGCATTTTTTGTCACCAACTTTCAACTCGAGAACCAGAAAAGCTAGAAGGCTGGAACTTTGGGAATATATGTCCATACCATGTGCGACTCTCCCGCTTTAATATCAACCCCTACGGACGCCTGGGTATTTCCTGTGTATATGCTAGCTAAAGATTTCAAATTTAGCCCTCAAGTATGTGTGGTCCTCATGTTAGGGCGAATGAAAGTTTTGACGGGAAAATTGCTAACTCGGAAGCCAGGAAAGCCAGAAAGCTGAAATTTTGGAGGGATGTCCTCTGTCCAAGTACAACTTAGGTATTTTAAATCCAGCCCTAAGATATGCGTGGTCCTTACGTACGAGCACGTGAAAGATTTGGCGGGAGAACTATTAACTCGGCAACCAGAAAAGCTGGGAAGCTGAAATTTTAGGGGAATGTTCGCTGTCCAAGTACAACGTAAGTGTTTCAAATTCAGCCTTGAGGTATGCGTGGTTCTTACGTACGGGCACTCAAAAGTTTTGGCGGAAAAATTTCTCACTGAACAGCTAGGTTACTTTTAAAGAACGACCGTTGAATGGAAATTGTACATTTACTTTATGCAAAATTTATGGTGATTTC